ATATCCCTTAGTAGTTTGTTAATTTTGAAATTTTATGTGCTTAATGTGTACTTGCTAGGCTTTAGTCTGGGGTAAAATTCTAATATCTTTATGAACATTGATGCCATATCTAGCAAGTTTTGTTATAATTTTCAGAATTAGCATATTTGAGTACATATGAGTCACCTAGTTCTTTTTGAGTTACGATATTAAAAGCTGAATCTGTTTATGGAACTATATTGATTCCGTTTGTTGCTTTCTAGTCTATGTGCTTAACCGTATGAACCAAGGAACTTCATGAGCTTAATTTCTAATATCTTCAATCTGTATTTCAATTCTAATCCTTGGTATTTGAGAAAACTAAATTTGCAGCTAAAAAAGGACTGTAGAGTCACTCCCGCGAGTGACCAAAGTCATTCCAGCGAGTGGCAATGGAGAAAAATAAAAATTCTGAACTCTTCCATACTGCTGCTGAATCTTTGTTGTGTTCTGATGTTCAACACAACCGAGAGTTTCCAAACCATCAAACGCATATGATGAATGATGTGCACCAGTAAGCCCTCCTTTAATTTTTCAATTTACGATGTGAAGGTGAAATTATTTAGGGAGACTGGTTTGCACATGCTATGTTTTTAACCAAGAAATAACATATTAACCTTATTATACTTAAATAAAAGATACAGTAACCAAGAAATAAATGCCCAAGAAATATTCAAGAACCACCGTCAAATCAATCTCGTCCGTCGGATAGAATTGATATGTCGTCAGCGACTTATTATGGCAAAAATGTCAATTCACATCCCTACACAACCAAAACAACGTCGTTTTTGCAACAAATGATCTCGTCCGTTGATAGATTCCGATCGGACGTTCTTAGTTAATTTCACCCCCATGACTTAAGTGGGGTTGATTCTGTAAATTAATATATTGGAATTTTTCTTTAATTTTAAGTAAAACCCAATGCTTCAAAACGACATGGGTTCGTATCCGGGTTTTTTTATAAACTTTTTATCCCATACTTTTAAAACGACGACGATTTGCTCCCCTTTGCCTTTAAAAAAATTATATAAATATTATTGTTTCTTTTCTTCCCCCTAATTTCCAAAACCCTCCGCCGTCGCTGACACTATCGCTACCGACGTTTTCTTCTTGTCTTTCTCCTCGAATCAACGTCACCATCACCACGGATTCAATCTTCTGGAAGGCAACTAAGATTCATGTCGTCTCTTTTACCTCTCCAATCATCATCAATGAAGAATCAATCGCTTTCCCGGAATTGACAATTTTGAACTCATGGCTGCTCGAGGTTTGTATTAGACGTAGAATTTGATTTCAAATTTCTCATGAAGTCCGGGACTTTAGAGTGTAGGATTAATTTTCTAGATAACATTGATTACGTTTTTTATTATATTATTATTTAAACCTTCATTGGATGCAATAAAGGACGTGGTCTAATGGCAAAGAATTCCAAGCTCTTCTGTACTGATTCGCATGCGGTTGCAGCTCAGGTTATGCCAGATTCCAAATAATTGGATTGGATTTTGCTTCGTTATTATTACTCATTACATAACAAGAGAATTATTGGATTTGGGAACAATGTGTTTTTAGCTAATGGATGCATTTTTTTTTTCAGGTTATTATTACTAATTACATGACATGAGAATTATTGGATTTGGGAACAATGTGATTTTAGCTAATGGATTCTGCAAATCCGTTTGCTCCTTTTGGTTTGGTGTGTCCCTTTTGCGAGATTAAATATTTGATTCCCAGTTGAGCTAATTTTAACATGGATGTGGTGTTTCTTTGTTTGCGTTTAGATTATCCTTCAATGTTCAATAAAATTCTTTGTAGCAGTATTTCAAAGTTTAATAAATTCTTTTTAGTAGTATTTTGTAGATGATGGTCAGGAACTAACATTGACCTTTACCAATATGGCATCCATGAATCACTAGCTGCACCCTCTTTTTCACTACCCTACGGACTAACTAAATCTTCCACCAAAATTTTTGGGTGCATGATTATCTTGCCGAGCCTCAAGTTTATGCATTTTACTTCAGTTAGTATTTTGTTCATCCGTTTGTCTTTTCTTTTCTCTCTTCATGCTTTGAATGTGATGTGCTCACTCTAACAAAATGGTTTACAGGGTGGTATAAATGCTGCTGTAAGAAATATGACTGAAAATGACTGAAGTTGGCAGATGTATGATACGGTGAAAAGAAGTGGCTGGTTAGTTGTGTTTATTGTTTAAGTTGCTTCTGAAGTTGCTGCCCAGCCAAGATATGTATTTTTTGAGAAACTAACTGAATCTTTGGTTCGTTATGTTGTATATTTGCTTAGAATTACTAGAAACACAATGCCCAGTTTTTTTGGGTATACTTCGCATTGAATCTGATAATGAGTAGTGATGAAAAAATATCTGTGTCCCCTTTCTGTACATGGAATATGTCATATGTCTAGAAGCTAGATCTTCTTTGAAATCATGATCTCTTGTCAAAATAAGCACAAAGCACCATCTGATATTAAGGTTTTCTGGAATTGATGCATTGAAAACTATCTGAAGGAGAGCTTTTTTTGCCAGGTTTCTGCCAAGGGGTAATTTCTTTGAACATGGAGGATTAAACTCTACACCATCGCGGGTAGAATTCCTTTTTTTTTCTCATTTTTTTTAATCGGTTTGAGGTCATGCTCTTTTGAGTCTTAATTTTTCTAGCTGTTATTTACAAGGATATGGTAGGGCGTACTTTTCTGCTACCCCTGCTCATACTTGCACTGGTGATGGCAATGGTAAGGTTGCACGTGCCCCGTTCCCTTTTTAGGTCTCTTTCTACACTAATTTTATTTCAGCATGTGTTGCCTTCCGGGATTAATTGCATGTGCTAATTGTAAGGAGTATTTCTGCGTGCTGCTAGGATTTAGAATTTTTCCAATTCCACCCAACTGGAGATATATGGTGCTGACTGAAGGTGTGATGTTTTTCCTTATTTTTGCCTTACCTTTCATGGTATTTTTAACTATGACTTCTCCATCACGTGGAAGTGATTCTGATATGATTTGACATTGGATGTTTTATACGTTTTGATCTCTTCGCAACTTCTCTTATCAGACATTCAAGGTTTGGATTAATAACGATTAATCAGAAAAGGGACAAAAAATCAAGGAGTACTTGCTAAAGTTACGTACAAATCACCATCAGTGGTTGACTTTACAATATTTTGTGGATGAAAGGGTGTAATTTTTCCCGAAACTATGAAGTGCAACTAAAATTCATGTTTTCATCATCATATTTTGATTTGTTAAAAGGATTTGGTAATTGAGTTGGTGCAGTTTTCCTTCAAGAAGAGAAAAGAACATCCATTAAGATTAATAAGTTAACTAATTTCGGCAGAATGAGGGAAATAGGGACTTTGAATTCATAAAAGGGCAATTTTGGAAAGTAAAGACAAATTTGCACTGGATGCTAAAAGTTGTTGTGGCAAAATCATTAGGTAGTAAAATTGAATTAGGTAGTAAAAATGAGAGATTTTGTTAAAAGAATTCGGAATTTTGAAAAGACAAAGACGCGATGTTAGTTTCTTGGTGCCTGGTGGGCTCTTTTTTGGGTTAATTTTTAGTTCTTTCGTATGAGATACATAATGTTAATCAAAATATATAATGGTTTGAGCTGATTATAATGGTTGGAGTTCAGCTCGAGAACTAATATCATGAAGAAAAAAAAAAAGAAAATCTATTCCTTTATTGATGTGAAATATGAGGCAATAGATATATAACTCAATAATTTTAGATTTTATACCTGGGGGTGTAAATAGACAATTCCAAATATTACTAGCTAAACAACCTAATTATCTTTCATTAATTGATATAAGAACTCAACGTACGTGGCTTCTTGTAACTAATTTAGATTTTGACATGTAACATTACTGCTAAGGAGTTCATCCAATGGTACTGGTGTTAATTTTTTTTATGTAGTGTTATAGAATGTGCTATTAAAAGAAAAATAATGAGTAAAATACTAAACAAATTTATCGTGATGTGTTAAACCATTGATAAGTTAACAATTTAAGATTAATTAGTTAATCTTTTCTAATGCAATACTTCCTCTGTTGATATTTATAATTTTTTCGCTGACTAGTTCATGCGTTGGTTTCGATCATTTGCAAGGAACATCTTTTTTTATTAATTATTATTTGATTCTCATTCATATATTAATGTATACATTTGCCATCTAGTATGGATATTATTAGATTAGGAAATTCCAACTCCAAGCATTATATGACTAACTAACCTCGTCGGAATTCAACCTTTTTAATGATGTCAAACAAACATCAACAAACGTCGGTGTGTAAGCTATATAGTTTATTGAAACTTCAATTGCTTTATATCGTGAAATTTTTTTGATGGCAGGCGCCATTAATTTAAACCTGATATAATTAAACTCGGAAGACAATAAGTATATATAATGTTACTATTAATTAAATAAATCATTATTTGAAAGTAACATCATACTTATTGCAATTATTGTTTAGTTAAAAGAAGTTTAATTATATACTTCTCTCTCTTTGCTGAACCTTTTCTCTCTTCGCTCTCGGTGCACGCGACTAACGTGTGCCTGCCATGGCTGGCAGAAAGAAGAAGGGGAAAGTAGCTCAGCCCCAAGTAGAGGAGAGAAATCATATTATAAGGGTGCAACTAGGGTTTCAGATCTATAACCAGAGGAGATAGAGAGAATTGAGGCTGAAATTGAGTATTCGTCTGTTAATAGGAAAGGGGAAGTTAAAGAGAATTCGAATATGGCTACACCAACAGAAGTAATGGGTAGTCAAATGCGTCAATCCCTCAGTGATGGGCGTAGTAGTGGAAAGAGGCAAGGCGAAGTTGAGCTACTTGGGCGAGATCTGAATGCTAAGAGACAATTGCAATGGTCAGAAATGATGGAACGAGATGAGAAGCAAGGAGTGTTGGCTAAGAATAATACAAGTAAATTCAAAGCACCCTCAGGAAAATTGCAATTCATCCTGCCAAAGGAGGTGGCAGGTCAGAACATCGCTCAGATGCAGATGGAGGATGTTAAATCTGAAGCAGAGTACTGGAAATCTTCCATCGCATGTTTTGTACTGGGAGCTCATCCACCAATTGGCGTTATGGAGAGATATTTCCAGAAACTCTTGGGAAACCTAGGCATTGATAAGATAATTCTCTTGCCTAGTGGGCTTTTTGTTGTTAGATTTACAACACTGAATGCTAGAGATACAGTGCTAAATGTGAATTTCTACCATTTCGGGTCAAAACCCTTAATCATGAAGCCTTGGGACGTAGAAAAAGGGATTAATTGTAATGATGTTGATTATGTTCCTATCTGGATACGTTTATATGGCTTGGAAGTTAAATTTTGGAATCTTAATTCCCTTAGTAGACTGGTAAGTGCAATTGGAACTCCAATTTTAGCTGATGACTATACTGTTAGAAAAGAGAGAGTTTTAGTTTGCTAGGATATTGGTTGAAATAAAAATTGCAGCTAATGTACCTGATAAGCTGGTCTTGAGGATGAGAAGGGGAATGTGAAGGTACAGAAAATCGTCTATGAATGGTTACTGTCACGGGCTCGCCCGACAGCTCTCGCAGCGGCTCGTGCGACATCTCCAAGGTCTCTCAGTTTCCCCTGCGGGATCAGCCTACACCATCGTAACCTACTGGTTTCGCCATGCCCCGGACTCATCAAGGGAGCGGCATTAGCCCCTGACCAGTTGTGTGCTTTCCGAGCGCTAGTCCCCCATGACCATCCCCGCCAGGCTACGGGTTCCTCAGGTCCTCTTGCACGGACCAGCCGCTAAGCCGACAACCTTTCCTTACGCTAACCCGTCCCCCGGCCCTGCCAGGTAGCAAACTCAGTAGGTACGCAACCCGGTCCCCTGGTGTCCTAGTTACCCCGGTAACAGACCTCCCCCACTTAACTTCTAGCACGCCCTCGTGCTAGGTGGGTAATAAACACGGCTCACCCCCAAGATCGCATGACGTCTGCTGTGTCCTCTGGCTATTCTGCGCCAAGCATCCACCTCTCCTCCAGGCGGCAATGCACGTTCAGCTCCTTTTCCTCGGCACGGCGCCTCTGCGCTCTGCACGCACCCATCTTCCAGGTCATGCGCACCCATCCTCCAGGTGATGCCCTCGAGCTTTTTCCCAACGGAGGCACAGAGCTCTCTCGCACGATGGCTCTGATACCACTTGTCACGGGCTCGCCCGACAGTTCTCGCAGCCGCCCGTGCGGCATCCCCAGGGTCTCCCAGTTTTCCCTGTGGGATCAGCCTACACCCGCGTAGCCTATTGGTTTCGCCCTGTCCCGGGCTCATCAGGGGAGCGGCATTAGCCCCCGACCAGTTGTGTGCTTATCCGCGCGCTAGTCCCCCATGACCATCCCCGCCAGGCTACGGGTTCCTCAGGTCCTCTCGCAGGGACCAGCCGCTAAGCCGACAACCTTTTCTTACGCTAACCCGTCCCCCTGCCCTGCCAAGCAGCAAACTTAGTAGGCACGCAACCCGGTCCCCGGGTGTCCTAGTTACCCCGGTAACAGTTACCCACTAAATGTGATCATTGTACGAAATATGGTCATCTCACTGATAAGTGCATACTTAAATTGAGGAAAGTAGAAGATAAACCTAAACAACCAGTGGCAGCTTGGAAAAAAGTGGAAAAGAAGGATGAAGGAAGAAGTAACGCTGACAAGATCCTAGCAACTGATGATAATCAAAGGAAACCAATAGTGAGGTGAAAAGATCAATCCTCATGTGAGGGAAGTTTAGTCAACAGTAATGGGCAGCTTGCAAATAGTCTTCATGAGGAAGGTAATCTAGAGAAGAATAAGGGGGATCAGAGCTGTGAAGATGAGAATATGGTAACTTCTGTGGAAAGTTCTATAAGCATTGGAGCAAAGGAAGGATTAGTTATAGATCCTGGTCCAAGTTCCTATGAGTAGCATAATATCATGAAATGTAAGGGGTCTCAACTTTCCCCTTAAGCAGAAAGAAATCTGTAAAAGAGTGAATGACCGGAAAAATAGTATGATTGTTTAGTGGAAACAAAGATGACCAGACAAAGAGGCGAGCAGTTTTTGCAAAATTGCTGGAAGGGTTGGCAGTGGTACACTAACTATGATAGCCATGAATGAGGAAGAATAATGGTGCTTTGGAACAATGATATAGAGGTACACGTATTAAGTCAAAGTTCGCAGATGATTCATGCCTTCTGCAAGTTAAAGCAAAGAAGCAAGCCGTTTTATATTACTAGAATTTATGCATCAAATGAACAGGAGGAAAGATCACAGTTATGGACGAAGTTAATAGGGCTCTCAAAAAGTATTGGAGATCCCTGGTTAATAACGGGGGATTTCAATAACATTTTGAAGCCTGAGGAAAAACTTGGGGGAAAGCCTGTAGTGCTTCAGGATTTTGAGGAATTTCAATGGAGTATGGATGAATGTGGTTTACGAGATCTAACTCAAAAAGGGAAGATGTTCACCTGGTGCAACCAAAGAATAGGAACTGAAAGGATATACGCTAAATTAGACAGAGCATTAGTCAATAGTGAATGGATTGACCAATATGCAGAGTCTATAGCAATAGTGTTGATGGAAGGAGTATCGGATCACTCACCAATTGAGGTCTAGTTCAAGGTAGAAATGCAGAAGAGGAGAATGCTTTTAGATTTTTTAACATGTGGTATCTATCCACTGAATTTCTGAGCACAGTGGAAAAGAGTTGGGCAGAAAGTGTTGAAGGCACTTGTAAGTATCAATTATGTCAGAAGCTGAAGAGGTTAAAATATCCATTGAAGAAACTTAACAGACTACAGTTTGCAGATATAGTGGAAAAAGCAAACAGAGAAGAGGTGCAACTGGAAGTGATGCAACAAAAGCTCAGCCTTGATCCTGGTGATGTTGATTTGCAGGTTGAAGAAAGGAAATTGTATAATCAGTATGTAGTGTCCAGAAAAGCTTCAAACAGTTTTTTGCAACAGAAATCTAAGGAAACTTGGCTTGGTGAAGGTGATGACAATACGAAATACTTCCATACGTCTTTGAAGGTTAAAGCAATGAAAAGTAGAATTTGGGGAGTGCAAGAGAAGAATGGAAGGAAGATTACTGACCAGAAAGGCATCGAAGAGCATTTCGTTTGCTTCTTCAGAGAATTATTAGGGAAGACAAACAGGAGAGAATCAGTGAAGGAAGAAATGTTTAAGACTGGGCCTGTACTGTCAGTGGAGCATCAAGTGACACTTATACAGCCAATTCAGAGTGGAGAAATAAAAAAAGCCTTCTGGGACATGGACGTGAACAAAAGTCCTGGCCCCGATGGTTTTGGCTCGGGGTTCTTCAAAGCAGCTTGGTCTATTGTGGAACATGATGTGGTGGCAGCTGTCATGGAGTTCTTCAATACAGGTCAGATACTCAAACAGCTTAATTCAACTTTAGTTACTTTGATCCCTAAAGTTGCTAATCCTTGTAACGCAAGTCAATTCAGACCTATATCCTGCTGTAATGTTATTTATAAGTGCATCTCGAAAATTTTATGTAATAGAATGAGTAGTATCATGCCTATCTTAGTAGATGAAAACCAAACAGCTTTTGTAAAAGATAGGCTAATTATACATAATGTACTTATAACCCAGGAATTGATTAGATTGTATAAGAGGAAAGGGGTTAGTAAGAGAATGATGATGAAAATTGACTTGAAAAAAGCATTTGATACTGTTGAGTGGGGATTTATAAATGATATGTTCGGTGGGTATGGATTCCCGGAGGAGTTTAGGAAATGGATTATGGCATGTGTGTCATCGCTATCGTTTTCGATAGCTGTTAATGGCTGCTCTGTGGGTTTTTTTCCTGGAAAGCGAGGATTACGACAAGGTGATCCTATTTACCCGTAGCCTTAAGAAAGTTGCAGAAACAGGTTTTAGGTTTCATCCTATGTGCAACCAACTCAAACTGACCAATATCTGCTTCGCCGATGATCTAATGATCTTCTGCAAAGCAGATGTTGAAACTGTGAAGAAGATAATGGGGGTGTTAAGGCATTTTGTAGGAACCACAGGTCTAGAGGCAAAAGTGCAAAAGTCGGCCATATACTTTGGAGGGGTTAGCGAGGCACTTCAGGAGAAAATCACTAAAATAGTTGAGTTTCCTGTAGGGGTTTTTCCTATGAAGTATCTTGGTGTTTCATTGTCACCCAAAAAATGGTCCCAAGTAGAGTGTCAAGGGATCATAAATCGTATCACCACACCACTTAAGTGCTGGAGCACTCGACATCTGTCCTATGCCGGCAGATTAGTTTTAGTGAATTCAGTACTCATGTCGATGCATACGTATTGGGGTAATATGTTTATTTTACCCCAGAGTATAACAGGGATGGTGAATAGATTATGTAGAGAGTTTCTCTGGGGGGTTAAAGAAAATGGTAGGGCAGTATCCTTGGTGGGATGGGAAGAGATTTGTAAGAAAAAGGTAGCTGGTGGTTTGGAGATCAGGGACGCGAAAATCTGGAATAAAGCAGCCTTACTGAAGCAAGTGTGGTAGATAGCTTCACAGAAAGACGTGTTATGGGTTAAGTGGATTCATGGCGTTTATATCAAAAGTTCATCATTCTGGGAAGTAGAGGCTAAGTGTAATGCTAGTTGGCAATGGAAACAGCTCTTGAAGATCAGGGATCAGGGGAAACTTGGTTTTGCTGGAAGCAGTTGGCTGGCATAAAAAAATGGTAAATATACTGTGAAATCAGGGTACACTTGGTTTACAGGGAATGAGGTGAAGGTCAAAGAATCACAGAGCATATGGTCACGAATGAATGTCCCAAAACACTCATTCATAACCTGGCTTGCATGGAAAAAGAGGATATGGACAAAAGATAGACTCATCTCAATGCATATGGTTGTAAATGATCAGAGTTGTCTATTGTGTAAGTTGCAGCTAGAAATTGCTGAGCATTTATTTTTTCAATGCAACTTTGCAGCAGCACTACTGGAGAAAATTGTCAACTGGCTGGATTGCAGGAAAATAACAGCAAGTGAAATACAGTAGAGGGTGCAAATTCTAAATATGTGGAAAGGACAGAAGACCAAAAGGAATCTTCTTTGGGCTGTAATGGCAGCCTGTACTTATCATCTGTGGGAGGAGAGAAACCGAAGGCATTTCCAACAACTGGAGAGGAGTCCAGAACAAATCATGCTCCTGATCAAAGATGAAATGAGATGCCGTTTCTTGCACTGTCACAAGACGAAGAACAGAGCAGCAGCAGAAATCTTTGCTAAATACTTCTGAACTCAACTGGATCATGTAGAAAACTGTAATAGGGGCTTAAATGTGTGTTAGAATGGTTCTACTGAGAGTCGTTTCTTTTTGTCCTTAGTATTTTTTCAGGGAGATCCTTTATTCTCCCGCAGTTTTGTAGTTAGCAGAGTTTTGTTCTATTAAGCTGTGTTTGTAAAGAACGATCATGATCCCGTTTGGTGTGCCAATCTTTATATATACATTTACCTTTTTACACCAAAAAAAAAAGAAGTTTAATTTCATACTTATGACAATATCTGACTATATTAAAAATAAAAATTCAAGCTCATTTCACATTTTGTCGTGTAGCATAACCGTGCTTTCTTCATGATTGCGCAATTTATTTATTTATTTGGCTTATGCCACTTAGCACTGTTAACTCATTTTCAATTTGCCAATCAGAAATTAGATTACATAAAAAATGTAATAATTTATTGATGAGGAGTTTTTCGCCAAGTTTAACTTCATCATTGTCCACGTAATCGATTAGACAAAAAAAAATTGGCAAGCTAGATCAGCTGCCAGATCAAATTGTTGACATTATTCCTCAATGGATTGTGTACCCACTTTTTTTGTTTTTGTTTTTTTTTTTTAAATAACGTATTTTCATTAAATTTACTGGAATTCAGTCAATTCTGAATGATACATGAACGGTGACTACAGTTTCAGAATAATTATTAGTTTGTTGATTCCGTTAACTCCTTAGTAGCGACTGGTTTAATTAGAACGCACAAATATTTTTGGCATAATTAACCAGAGAGATAGGCGTTGCCATGCCATATTCCCCTGCGTCCTTAACTAGGGAAAACTGAGAAAGGTTTTGCAGCCTTGTTCAATCTCCTTGACATTAGATTCAATTATTGAATTCAAAGACTTAAAAACTTTCATCCCTTGTTCTAGATAGGTTTCTGGTCATTGTTTTTCCATTAAAATCATGAAAAGGACTGCAAATCCTGATCGATTTACATAGATTGGTTGAACTAGATTACAATAGACGTCTAAAATGGGTTAATTCGGGGCTGGATTTTGTGTCACATTGTATTGATTTTCCTAGAAATTCAACACTACAGTTAAAAACGCTTTTGCATATCATATATAGTTTGATAGTGATGATTGACTTGGAGCTCCGAATTAAATAGAGATGAGCACTAATATTACTACAAGAGAAAGGAGCATCCCAAGAGTAGTCTCGGATTCATAAAGGATTCATAAGAGGGATAGCAAACCTGCAAATTGTTCATAGATGAATTGATGATGTTATGAGTTATTTTGTTAATTATTGCTCCAGTACAATTAATAATAAAATAATAGAGGAGACTGGAAGTCAGGGAAACAGAAAAAAGGAGGGACTGATGAATGGAAATGAGTAACTTTAGGAGTTTGACCTAACGTGTATAATTTGGGGAAGAGAATGGGCCTTTTCATTATAAGGTTTGAGCCACACCATCTAAAACATTCCAAAGTTTAAAAGCATGTTATTTTCATCCTAAACTTTTGAAAAATATGTAATATTAGGACATTTGT